GTTGCCACTTTAGAAAAAGTGCAGAGGAGAGCAACCACGACGATTAGGGGACTGGAGACTAAAACATATGAAGAATGGTTACAGGAACTGGGAATGGATAATCTAGTGAACAGAAAGACCAGGGGAGATATGATAGCAATGTTCCAGCATTTGAGGGGCTGCCACAGAGAGGAGGGGGTCAAGCTATTTTCCAAAGCACCTGACGGCCAGACAAGGAATAATGAATTGAAACTGATCAAGGAGAGATTCAAGGAAATAAGGAGGAACTTTCTGACAGTGATAACAATCAATCAATGGAACAGAAGTTGCCTTCGGAAGTTGTGGGAGCTTCATCACTTGAGACTTTCAAGAAAAGATTGGATTCCCATTTCTCAGAAATGGTGTAGGGACTCCTGCTAAGGCGGGGAGTTGGATTAGATGACCTATAAAGTCCCTTCCAACTTTGTTAACTGTTATCTATTGTCCATATCCACTACAATGTTTCAGTGTTAACAAATCAGTTTCAGAAATATTTGAGATATGATGTTTCACATTTTAAAAAAAATCCAGAATGTTTGAATCCATAGAAAACCCTAACCCTAACCCTAAAAGGATAGTAATGTTCAGAGATTCTTAGAAAAACAGAAATTTCTAGAGTTCTTACCACAAGTGCCTTTGCATTGTGTTTCTTCATAAATTCTGATTAAAGGAAAAGTAGCAGTAGCACAAATACACATGAATCAGTGTGGACATCATATTTGAAACTTTTCTGATTGAAAAGCTTTGGCTAAAATACTATTTATGCGGAACAAATTACAGGGTGCCTTGGATTTTTTTTAAAAGCAAATTGTTTGGAAAATTGAGCACAGGCTTCTTTAAATTCAAGGCCTTTCTATTAGTAGTGTTTTCCCACTGAAAAAATGAGGCCTTGTGTTATAGAAAGTTCTCAAAGAACTTTCAAAAGGAAATGTTGATTACATACCAGGAAAAAAAAAATGTGTGGATGCAAATAGAAGACAATATATGTAGCTTAGGGATGAATTGTGAAGACCTTGGTGCTCTCTGAGTTTAGTTGTTTGCTTGCAGATCTTTCATAGCCCAACTATGTAACTTCATCAGTGCAAGTTGCACTGTGCAGTACAGTGCAGTACATGTGGGATTTGCTCCTGTTATATATATATATAACTGTTAAATATATTGGGGGTTCTCCTGGACTTGTGACTGCTGTGTGAGGAACAGGTGGCAATCGCAGCCAGGATTCCCTGCATTCAATCATTCAGTCCCTATTCAACTCACAGGTAGACTACTATAATAGGTTCTACATAGGGCTAAATAAATAAATAAAACTGTAACCCAGAGCTACCCTATGGTAAGATTGGCAACCAATAAATTTTATAACTAAATAAATAAAGTAAATGTGAAATGGTTTAGTTGGGATAGGGAAGGAAAACATGTCAGCTTTTGTATTTTCTATGGAATGACAAAAAAAAGGTGTAAATTTGAGCCAGGACAAATTTCTTGATATTCTCATTATTATCATGCAATAAGCATCCTAGTGTAGCACATGGCATCTCAATACTGGTAGATTATCTTCTTTATGTCAATGAAATGCCATATAAATCAGAACTGTACCTAAAAATTGCATGTAGCTTTTATTCTTTAGGAAGGCAGTCCTATATAATAGACTTTCCCTTGCTATAGTGTTGGAAAACATAATTTGTCTGACTCACAGAAAGCTTCTTTTATGAAATGCTTTTAATAGTGATATGATCAGATGAACTGAACAGAATTAAATTAATTCCAAGTATGTATTCATTGTGAACTTGCTTGAATAAGACATATGAAGTACTGAGAACTGTAACACAGTCTTAATGCCTCAAAAGAAGGAAATGAGTCAGAACGTTGCTTAGTAAATGAAGGAAATATAATGAAAGGAATTAAGAGTTTGTTAGAAAATGCCAAGGGTGAACTGAGATCTGCAATGAAAGAATATCTAAGAAAATTATTGCAGGTAATAAAAGTTTAATATCCAAGATTTAATACCTACAAATTCCTATATAAAAGAATAGAAAATCAATATTTTGTCAAATGCAATACAGAACATATTAAAAGCATATTAAATGCATCTATTCAGAAAAAGTAAATACACATATGTATATACTGGATAAATGCAGAGAAATGAGAATAAGAGGTGCCTGAAATTTCATGCATTTTTTAAAAATTACAAACTTACAGATGGGGATCTTGATTTTAAGCTTTAAATTTTTTTTAAAAGTGAATGAAATTGAACTTGGCAGGTTTGTTCATTCTTAGTGAAAGTAAACAGGATACAGGAGAAAGATTCATTAGTATAACTTTTTCACTCTTAAATGCAGATAAATTCTTTTTATATAAAATGAATACATGCTAATAACTATGTAGTAGTAACCCACTTGCTCTTCTCTCAAATTGCTAGCTTTATAATCTTGTGAATCCTGTTGAGTTTTAAATCGATATACAGCCTACTTTCAAGCAATTGGTATTCACTATTTTTTGTAAAGCTGTGGCAATCTTTGAGGAAGTGATTGACAAAGGAGTGATTCAATTTGACTCCAGAGTGCTAGTCAAGGTAGCGACAGTGATGTGAAATGCTTCATTGAAGCAAACTATTTTATGTATGTATGTATGTATGTATGTATGTATGTATGTATGTATTTATTTATTTATTTATTTATTTATGAGAATCACAAGAGTCTTAGGGCATGGTGGTAATACAGACTCACGTCTCCATATTTAGTTGTGTGTTTAGATGTAGTTTGTAGAAAGGGGAAATCATCTCTTTCTGTCCATTCTATTCCTAATCCAGATGTCCATCTGCACTTTTAAGAAAAAACAACCCAAAGAAGAAGTGTGGTTTAAAGGAAACATTCTAGCTTGAAGAAATCCCCATATACATTTTTGGAATTTTCAGGAAAGGCTGGAAAACCTTCTGCATGAAATTTTGGGAAGTCGCAATATAAACTCAGAGAAGTGCTGATAGAAGAGACTATTTTTAGTTCAGAATTGAACTGTGAGTCCTTCGTGCTCTCTGAAGATGTTTCATGACCTGACTAGGTAACCTCATCAGTACTAGAAGGAGGAGGAGAAGGAGGAGGAAGAAGAAGAGGAGCACTATGATGACTATGGGGTCCTTGACAGTGGTGGGATCCAACTAATTTAACAACTGGTTCGTCCTAATGACTGGGTGGGTGTGGCAGGGGGGTTATGTGATTAAGTGGGCATGTCCAACTTACTTAATGTTACTCATAGCAAGGTGGGACAGCACAGGACAGATGAAGCAGCAGTGGTGATGGCCGGAGCCTTAGACTTAACTTTGTGCAGCAACAGCAACAGTGATTCTCCAACACCTCATCCCTTGCTGGGTCTCGCTTTCCAACAGTCAGGGTTTTTAAAAAGGTTTTTGCAGCAGGAAATTGCCTTCTCTGTGGGGGCACCTGCCATCTGGAATGAGCTCCCCCTGGAGATACGGAGGATCCAAGACCTACACATCTTCCGCTGCACCCTAAAAACATTTTTATTCCAACAGGCTGGTCTGGCCTAACTCTCCCTTTTAAATTGGCCTTTAAATTGGCTTTAAATTGGGTTTTAAATCTCTTTTAGTTAAATTGGATGTTTTAATCTTTGAACCTAACCCTAAATTATTTAATATTTTTAATAGTTTTTAACTTTTGTATGTCTTTGTATTTATTTATGGCTGTTCACCGCCCTGAGTCCCTCGGGAGTAGGGCGGTATACAAATATGAAAAATAAATAAATAAATAAATAAATAAATAAATAAATAAATAAATAAATAAATAAATAAATAAATAAATAAATGATGGGTGGCTACTTCTGGGACTTTGTTGGTGCAGCTGGGCACACAACACTGCCCTGAGACACTGGCCTGCAGCCGCTGCCTCTTTACCAGCATAAGAAGCCTGCAGCCATGGCTCTTTTTCGGTGCAAGAAGCCTACAGCCACCACTCTTTGCCAGTGCAAGAAGCCTGCAGCCACTGCCCTATGCTGGTGTGAGAAGCCTCAACCCGCTGGTCTTTTTTGGAGCAAGAAGCCTGCAGCCGCCACTCTGCAGGCACGAGAAGCCAGCTACCGCTGTCTCCAGCTGCTGCTCTTTTTCGTCGAGAAGTTTCCAGCTGCCACTCTTTTTCATCGAGAAGGCTCCAGCTGCTGTTCTTTTTCAGCATAAGAAGCTTCCACCTGCTGTCTCTTTGCTGGCACAAGAAGCTGCCAGATTCTGCTCTTTTTTGGCGAGAAACCTCCAGCTGCCAGTTTTTTTCGACATGAGAAGCCTCCAGCTGCTGCCTTTTTGCTGGCTGGAACCAAGCTGGCAGAGGATTCTCACATCGGCAAAGAGTGACGCCTGGAGGATTCTCATGCTGGCCAAAGACCCGTGGCTGAAGGCTTCTTACACTGGCAAAGAGGCAGTGGCTGCAGGCTTCTCAGTAGGGGAGAACATGGCAAGGCTCAGCTGCCTTTTGGGCCCTGCTCTGGGCTGCTGCCTGCTCAACCTCCGCTTTGCCTTGGGTCCCGCATTCAACAAGGGGACATGCCGCTTCCAGGCCAGCCCAGCCGGCAGATGGGCAAGTGGGCGACCCTCAGGGAAGGCATTTTTTCCTCAGATCTCCCACCCAGAAGGCCCTGTGGAAGCCAAAGATGGGCCCAAAACGCAGCCAAGCCTCACCATGTCCCCTACCCACTGAGGCAGTCCTTTGGCTGAGAGCAGCAAGCCTGGACCGGATCTTCCTTCCCCACCATCAGCCTTACTTTCCATCCCATGGGGCTTGCACCACTCTCACAAAGGTGGCCTGAGACGAGGCAAAAGGCAAGTGGGCAGCATGCGGGTGGAGGTCCCGGGGAAGGCCAGAGCCAGGGGCTGGCGCATCCCCCGAAGGTGAGCGGGCAGAAGGATGGTGAGAGCTAGGCCTGAAAGGCAGCCAAGTCTCACCATGTCCACCCTGAGGCAGCCCCTCCGCCAAGCGCCTTACCTTCATGGGCAGCCAGAGTGAACAGAGCAGGGAAGGCATGGAAATCAGCTAGGCCATGTGGTTTGGGCGAGCAAGCGAAGAGCCAGACAGTAGCTGGGTTCAGGCATGACTCTAGCCACCGGCCAAGGCAAGCAAGGTGAGATAGGGCAGGGAGATTGGGGTGGGCAGGGCCAGACAGTGGTGGGATTTGCCAGTTCGCTGAACTGTACAGAATCTTAACAACCGCTCGCCTGAACTGATCTGAACTGGCTGAATCCCACCCTTTCCATCATTAAGGCAGTTGAGAATTGAAGGTTCTTAATAGAATTCTTATTAATTCACATTTTGAACTTGGATCATTCCCTGGAGAATATCCTTTGACTGCCCACTTACTAGGAATATGAATTACAGTTCATTACTGCTTTATCCTCTAACAAATGTGGCATAATATTTCAGCTGGTGATGCCTCTGCATGGCCAGGATATATTCAATGGAATTTGTATGTGAAGAGTACCTGTCACTTTGTGCAATGTATTTCAAAATCTAATTTATCTCTCATTTATTCATATTAATAATATGTCCATGGATAATGCAATATTTGAACATTAGATAAACAATAGAGTGATGAAAAAAGGATTCTGCATCTAACCAAGCATAAGAAAGCATAAGAAATGAATCAATGTATATTCCTTTGGTTCATGTTATTTTATGCTGGAAGAATAGGAAATATAATGAACCACCAACATTATCCGGATATATCAGAAAACAGATATTCTAATTGCAGCATAATAATATCATTTTATATCATTATGAGAAATACTTAAACCATATGTGCAATACTGTAAATTTTTCAATGTTAAACCCAGTGGTCACACATTTGAAAACCAAAATCAATGATGAATTTCTGTCATTTTGTGCTTAAACACTATAGAAAGATCAATTAAACCACAGGTTTTTTAACATTTATTTTTTTAAAAAAATTATGTTACCACTTTGATTCCCAGTTATTTATAAAAGTTCTTCTTCTTCCTCCTTCCTCCTCTTCTTCTTCCTCCTACCTCTACTTCTTCCTCTTTTCCTCCTTCCTCTTCTTCTTCCTCTTCTTCCTCCTTCTTCTTCTCCGCCTTCTTCCTCCCCACCCTCCTCCTCCTTCTTGATCATTAGATTATCTATTATGTCTTCACAACAGTGTGCTTCCAGTTCTTTATTTGGAGTTACCTTTCATCTACAATTCTTCATAGAACCTAAAATGTCATAATGCATCAGCAAAGCATACGTGTAGATCAAAGCAAGGTCTCATTTTGCAATTGACAGTTAGAAAATTTGTCAATGCATAGATTTTCTAAGTCCTGTCCGAGCTTTTTTGGTATGGCACCCAGTGTGCTGATAGTCAGTGGGAGCACCACAACCACATTATGGTTTATGCTATAATCTTTCAATTTAAATTTTTGGATCTTAATATTTTGTGATATTAAGTAAGTGTAATGAAATGTGTAAATGACATTGGAGAATGAGGGAAGAGATATTGCCTAGGAAACATCAGATAAAAGAGGGGGGGGCTATCCTAGTGGTCTAATGGTTACAGAAAAAACTAGGAAGGAACTAGTGGCAAAGGAAATTTGTACTTTTAGACTTAAAGATGTGAGGTGCGACATCTGTCATCCCATTGATCTCCAGGTTGATTTGTACTTTTAGACTTACAAGATTCTGTTAATATGAACTTACGATAGTAATACTAGTACATCTAATTATGTCTTCTGTTTACTTGGGGGGGGGGCTGGTGTTACCGTAGCATATTCCAATGAAATCAAATGAGGGTTATCAAAACAACTTTAGGAAGTAGGGGTTAAAGAGATTTCTGGGACAGTTCTTAAAACAACAGTAATACTCTCCTAGACCAATTATAAAAGTTGTTAGTTGACAGTGCTTTTCAAGCTGTTCACAGCAGGCTACAGATGGTTTTATAGGTTTACAAATGGATAGTTATATGAGATTTTTAAAAACCTGAAAGAACTTCTGATTGCAAATTGCACTATAGCAATCCAGTATTAGGGCAGAAGTTTGCAGATGTTCAGACTGGTGAAAGATGGCATAGAAATTTCAACAGGGAAGTTTTTTCAAGTAGCTAAAAAAATTATAGTAGTAAACAGGAAAAGTATTTGATCAGCAGCATATTACAGACAGTGCTAACAAGTCTCTCTGAAAACAACATGTTTCTGGAATTTTAAATGCCACTAGCATATTGTTGTTGTGTTCTCATACTCCATCCTTTTATTTACATTCCATATATCAATCATTAGTCATATAATAACATTAACACAATTAAAATCAAAATTAATATTATTAAAATCAGTTTAACAGTTAAATGCTTTGGAAAGAGATGGGCTTCTCTTATTTTCTTAAATACTGGAAGACTGGGAGTCAAGCACACTTCCTTGGAAATTGCCATCTATAGTTCATGGGTTAGACATACTGGATATGTTCTGACATTTGGGGTATCTTTGCCCCAGCCTGATCTCCTGACTGAAGTAAGCAAGCAGTTTCAGACCAAGAATAGCAGACTCTTGGATACCATGTCTTATAATTTGAAATGTAACAATCATTTAATTTAAAACCTGGAAAGTCATATCTCGTTTTGTTATCCATATCTAGTGTAAATTTTGGCATAAATATAAAATATGTCTTCTGAGATACTGTACGTATGAACTTTTATTATTTTTATGTATATGTATTGGAAAAAAAACTGGAGCAGTTTTGCATGTTGTCTTTGATTTTATTTTAATTCAGCTACAGACATGTTCATATTTTCTTTTTAGAATCCATTAATAAAATATCCGTTAGAGATTTAGTCTCTGCTAACTTAATATTAATTAGCAGTCTGTTTTCTTGATATTCTGTGAAATACTTATTGGCAACATCCTTAAGGGAAAAAATGTTTGTAAAAAGAAAAAAAGAGGCAGACAGATGGAAAAAATTAAGCACGGAAGCATATCATGCTCAGGTAATGTCAAATTAGAAATGCAAAATGGCTGCAACACTTACAAAGGGAATCCATATGCTACCACTCTCATGTCTTCAACTGGGCATCAAAAGGCAATAATTTCTGAACCAAAACACCTCAAATGGTTTAATTTAAAGAATGTGTTTGAAAAAACTAGCAGGTTCTGTGGCTCCAGAAAAGAGGGGAATATCCATGCCCTCTTGTCCCTGTACCCAAGTGGTACAGGGACAAGACTACGATGGTTACTTTGGAAATGAAGCTAAAATTTAAAATCTGTTAACGGTAATTGGACAGCAAAAATAGGAAGAGGTAACAACTTGAATGCTACTGGTGCAACAGGGCTGAGAAACACTAAGTAAGTATTCTTATACCCTTGGGGACAACTTGGAATGGGGAGTAAGGGTGCTGTTTTCTTTGCAGTCTGAAGAATCCTTTTTTTCCCTCTCCTCTGCGAAGTGGGAAACAGTTCCATGGGTCAGCCAAGGAAGAGGAGTTCCTTCTAAGAGTTGTGAGGAGAGGAGAAAAAGTGCCAGCCTATTTTATATGTGGAAAAAAAGATGTCTGAATGAATCATTACTTATCTAATAAACACAAAAAGACATATATTCCATGAGACTTCTACTTGAATGATACAATCTTTATTCTAGCAGTTTAAAACCAGATGACTTATCTGACACTTTTGGGAGGTAGAATGGACTATACTGGATATAGTAGTCCATTTCCCTATATACCATCTTCTTTTTTATTGCTGTCATTCAATTAAAAAAACCCTAACTCTAGAGACAAAATGGCACCTCATCATCATTTAAATTCATTTGTACAACTTGTTTTTTCATAGTTTTGTCATAAGGTTAATGCTTTGTCACAATGCTTAATATTTGGAGATTAGTGTTAATGTGAATTAACACATTAATTAAACCAAAACAAATGACCAGGCATAAATTATTCTATTTCAGACCTATTATGCAATTATCTAAGTCTCTACAGAATGCTCAAAAAAGAAGTAGAGATATTATGAAAATGGATGGATTTACTGTAATTACAATGGATGCACCATTGGAAGATCTGAAGGTTCAGATTAAGGACAGATCATCATGAGAAAGATTATCTATGGGTTCACTGAGACTCAACACTAACTTGATGACAAATAATCAAAAAACAGTTTTGTTTCTGTTTAAACAGCAGGAGATAACAGATTATTAACAAATTATGGAGAATCTTACATTGCTATGTTAATGCCCATCCAAAAAACCAAAGTGATCAGATGTTATTTATACTACTTGATCTCTCATTATTTAATTTTTAAATAATTTTACAAAATGTTCATTTTAAAGGACACTTCTTCTTTAAGCACAATTTTGCTAGAATTTGCTGTGGACAATTAGTGCTTTTTTAGTCATTTCTGCTGCCTCTGCCGTAAGAGAGATGCAGGTGGAATATTTCAAAATTGTACTGCTGTAAAATCTTTGAAATTATGCAGCTGAAATCTTTCAGGGTTAACGTTCTATGCAAGTCTATATCCTTGTTATTTTTATCTTATTCTGCCAAAAAGGGAAGCAGCTGCAGGTTTTATCATTACACCATTTACAGAATTGCATATCAAATCAGTTTAAATATCTGATTCTTTTTAAATTTTTATCACAATCAGATCTTGCCATTTTCAAAGCTCAAATTCAAGCATAACAATAAAAATAATAATAACAATAGAATAATAACAGCAGCAGCTCTAATAATGCAATGTAGTACATTTTGCATCTCCTGAATTCACAATAGTGTCAATATCTATATGTATACTGATTTATCCATAATCCTCTGTTAAAATTCAGCAAATGCTTGGGATGCAAATCCAGTCTGTCAGATTATTTTTTTTATATGTTACAATACTGTAATATATGATATTTATTCACAAAGTAATACCATTATGTTTCATTTCTGGTTTTAGGCCGTCAAATTTTAGGATTGCTTCATCTGACTCAAATTTGAAGCTGACAAGAAATCATCTCCCACAGTGCTGATATGCATAATCAGAGTGTGGATTTGGTTGCAAATATTAACTATGTTTCTATGTGGAAACATGCTTGCATACATTATACATGATG